AATAAAGACCCTCTTGAACTTTCATCGGAATTGGCTCTTGGTGGTCTCTCGGATTGAACATTCGGCCACTACACTATAATCACCTCATGCACACAAGGTACTCTGTGGCTATCCCCTTGGACAAAACCATTGTCAACAAGGATGTTTTCAGAGACCCTGCTCTTAAATGCAAGGCCTGATGGGAAGCCAGGGTCAAGTTCAAAGAGAAGTACAAGATGGGCAAGAACAAGTGGTTCTTCCAGAAGCTGAGGTTTTAGATGTTTTTTGCTTCAGTCATTAAAAATTTTTTAAATAAAAAAGTTGGAGACTGTCAAATTGGATAAAAGAGCAAGAACTAACTATATGCTGCCTATGACAAATGCACTTCAAATATAAACACACAAATAGGTAATGGAATTAAATTAAAAATCAAAAACAGAAAGATCTCTGGCAAGTGTTCAAATATGTGGATGCTAAATAACACAGTTCTAAATAACCCCAAAATCATAAGGGAAATTAAAAGTACTTAGATCTTAATGAAAATGAAAACATATTATATGAAAATTTGTGGGATGCTGCTAAGGAAGTACACAGAAGAAAATTTAAAGCACTAAATGCCTGTATTACAAAAAGAAGAAAGGTCTCAAATTAATTAGCCTCAACTTCTTCCTTAAGAAACTAGAAAGAGAAGAGTAAATTATACCCAAAATAAGCAAAAGCAAAAGAAATAAAGATCAAAGCAGAAACCAATGAGCTAGAAAAACAGAAAAGCAATGAGAAAATCACTTAAATTAAAATGTGCTTCTATGAGATAATCAAAAATTAATAAACCTTTAGTCAGACTGATCAACGGAAGAAAAACTATCAATATCAGAAATGAAAGAAGTGATATCACGTTGTCTTTCAACTATGTTATTTTTTCCAGAATTGTTTTAGCTACATTCTAAGTACTTTGAATTTCCTTCTCAACTTTAGAATCAGTTTGACAGCTTATACAAAATGATAATAAAAGAATATCATTAACTTTATAAAAACTAATTTGAGACAAATTACATGAAAGGAAGAAATTTCTTTAAAATACTAACAATTCTCATGCAATAAGAAAAAAAAAAAACCTGAATAGCACTATATGTAGTTTCAAAAATTGAAACTGTAGTCTTAAACCTTCCCACAAAGAAAACTCCAAGCCCAGATAACTTTATTGGTAAACTCCAACATGTAAGAAATTATATCAATCTTACACAGACTCTTCTAAAAATAGAAAACTTTTCCCAACCCATTCTTGTGAGGTCTGCATTACCCTGATAACAAAGATAAAGACATTAAACAAAATAAAACTTCATACCAATATCACTTATAAGCATACATGCAAAAATTCTAACAAAAAATGTATCAAATTACATCTGTGATTGGCTGAATAATGCCTCCCACTCTCAAAGATCTACAGGTCCTAATCTCTAGAATTTTTTACTACGTTACTTTACATGGTGAAAGGGAATTTCCAGATGTGATTAATTTAAGAATATCAACCTAGCCAGGCTCGGTGGCTCAGCCTGTAATCCCAACACTTTGGGAGGCTGAGGTGAGAGGATTGCCTGAGCCTGCGGGTTCGAGACCCGCCTGGGCAACTTGGCGAGACCTCATCTCTACAATAAATCAAAAAATGAGCCGGGCATGGTAGCACGCACCTGTAGTTCCAGCTACTTGGAAGGCTAAGGCGGAAGGATCGCCGGAGCCCAGCAGGTCGAGGCTGAGGCTGCGGTGGCCGGGAGCAGCCACGGCACTCCAGTCTGGGTGACAGAGTGAGACTCCAACTCAAAAAAAAAAAAGAATATCAACCTGTTGAGATTATCCCAGTGCACTCAATGTAATCACAAGAGTTCTTATAAGTGGGAGGCAGGAGGATCAGAGTCATAGAGATGAAAGGATGGAAGAGGAAGTCAGAGAAGATAAAAGATACTACATTGCTATTCTGAAGATGAAAAAAGAAGTCATGACCCTAGGTATCTAAGCAGCCACTGGAAACTGAAAAAGGCAAGGAAATGAATTCTCCCCTAGAGTCTCTGGAGTGGGTACAACCTTACCAACACTGTTTTTGGCTCAGTGAAACCCATTTGGGATATCAGGCTTCTAGAGGTATGAGATAATGATAGATTTGTGTTGTTTTAAGCTATTAAGTCTGTGCTAATTTGTCTGTTACAGCAGCAATAGGAAATTAACATAGCATTCAGTAGTATATTAAAATAACAATACATCACAATAAAGTAGGGTTTATCACAGGAATGCAGGGTTGGATTAACATCACAAAATCACTATAATTCACCAAAACAAACTACAGCATAAAAACCATGTGATCATCTCAATAGATGCATAAAAACATTTGAAAAAATCTAACATCCACTTCTAAAAAAACACTTAGCAGCTGAGCGTGGTGGTTCAAGCCTGTAATCCCAGCACTTTGGGAGGCCAAGGTTGAGAGGATTGCCTGACCTCAGGAGGTTCGAGACCAGCCTGGGCAACTTGGTGAGACCTCATCTCTACAATCAATCAAAAAAATAGCCGGGTGTGGTGGTGTGTGCCTGTAGTTCCAGCTACTTGGAAAGCTGAAGCAGGATTGCCTGAGCTCAGCAGGTTGAGGCTGCAGTGGCTGTGAGCGTGCCACTGGCACTCCAGCCTGGGTGACAGAGTGAGACTCTGACTCAAAATAAATAAATAAATAAAATAAATTTTAAAACACTTAGCACCTCATACTAGTAAAGGGCAATATAAAGAAATCTACAGTTAACATACTTAAGTCCTAGCCACTACAATAAGACAAGAAAAGTAAACACAGACATAAAAATTAGAAATAAAGTAATACCATCTTTATCCACAGAAGACATGATTGTCTGTCTATGTAGAACATTCAGTGAAATCTACAAAACAGGCCATGCATGGTGGCTCACACCTGAATTCCAGCATTTTGGAAGGCCAAGGTAGGAGTATCACTTGAGGTCAGGAGTTTGAGACAAGCCTGGGCAATATAGTGAGACTCTGTCTCTACGAAAAATAAAAAATTAGGCCAGGTGCAGTGGCTCATGCCTGTAATCCCAGCATTTTGGGAGGCTGAGGGAGGAGGACTGCTTAAACCCAGGAGTTCAAGACCAGCCTGGGCAACATAGAAAGACCTCATCTTACAAAAAAGAAAAAAATAGCCAGATGTGATGGCATGCACCTGTAGCCCTATCTACTTGGGAGGTTGAGGTGGGAGGATCACCTGAGCCCAGCAGGTCGAGGCTGTGGTGGTCGTGAGCATACTACTGTACTCCAGCCTGGGTGACAGAGTGAGACCCTGTCTCCAAAAAGTCTATAAAAAAGCTACTAGAACTAAGTGAGTTTATAAGGTTGTAGCACATACTGCTAGAATGATTGTGTATTTTACTATAATTAAAAAAAATAATAATAAATCTGTCAATAGAGTTTTTCTATAATAAAGAAAGGCTATTTATAGAATAAAAAGACAAGCCAGACTGGGAAAAAAATGTTACAAAGCATGTGATAAAGAACTTGTACCCAGCTTAGACTCCTCAAAATTCAATAAAAAATCCAATACAGAATGTGCAAGAGATTTAAACATTCTGTCAAATAAGATATACAAATAGCAAATAAGTACATGAAAATATGCTCAAATTGTGATCATGCCACTACACTCCACCCTGGGCAACAGAGTGAGACTCCAATTCAAAAAAAAGAAAATATGCTCAAACCATTAGTTATTAGAAAAACACAAATCAAAACCACAATGAGAGATACCACTACATACCTACTAGAATAGCTAATGTAAAAAACAAACAAACAAACAAAAAACCTGGCAATTGACAAGTACTAAAGAGGATGTGGAATTGAAACTTTTTTTTTTTCAGTTGGAGTCTCACTCTGTCACCCAGACTGGAGTGCAGTGACACACTTTCAGCCACTGCAGCCTCAACCCGCTGGGTTCCAGCGATCCTTCCACTTCAGCCTTCTGAGTAGCCGGAATTACAGGTGCGCGCTACGACGCCCGGCTAAATTTTTTTTTTTATTGTAGAGACAGGTCTCACCAAGTTGCCCGGGCAGGTCTTGAACCCGCGGGCTCAGGCAATCCACTCACTTCAGCTTCCCAAAGCGCTGGGATTACAGGCTGAGCCACCGAGTCCAGCCAAAACTTTCTTTTTTTAAAGATTTTTTTTTTTTGGCCGGGCTCGGTGTCTCAGCCTGTAATCCCGCGCCTTTGGGAGGCTGAGGTGAGTGGATTGCCTGAGCCCAC